TATTATTATAAATAAAATAAAACAATGAAGCGAGATATATTATTATAAATAAAATAAAACAATATTATTTTTGTTACATTAATATACCGCTTCACTCACTTCATTTAATTCGCAAAATTAAACTTTTTAATTTAATAAATAATAATAATTTTTGTATACTTGTATAATTTTTATATTCATTTTGATCTTTGAATTTCTAATGATGAATATATTTATTAATTCTATAGAATTTTTTCAAAATAATTATAATTATATTAATTATAATTATAAAAATATTCTAACAATAAGTAATTCGAAATTCGTGAAATTAAATATGATATTAATTCGGATTCGTATATACGATTGAATTTATTTCCATCTTTAATGAAAATAATTTATGTCCTATATTTTATGAATAATAATATTACTGAATATTGAAATTTATTTAATAATAATAATATTATGAATAATAATATCATTCATAATAAATTCTATTCATATATCATAGTCTATTGTTTATTTGAAATGAATCATTTATTTGAAAGATCTCTACTTGCTATACAAGAAAAAAAATAATCATAATGTAATGATTATGATGAATGAGTGAATTCAGTAGATTGTTTCAGAGTTTCTTATTAAGTTTATCTCATTTACGATTTTAGCATTTCTATCTCTACTTTACTGCCATGCTTCTGTTATTTCGCTTCATTTAACATAAATTTAAATTATACATAATATAATAAAAAAATAAAATAAATAAATCAATATTTTTATATAATAATAATTTATGTTTATTTTAGAATTGATTCTCTAGAGATTGTTTCATGAATATGTTAATATCTTATATATTTATTATTTCATTTTATACAATAATAATTTATTTATTTAAAAAAATAAAATAAAATCTCTTTAACGTAAAAAAGTTTATGTCAAAATTTAAATATAAAATACACAGAAAATCGGATTCTTATTATAATTAACTGTATTAATTTGATTTAATGTCACATAGCATTTTTAAACTTTTGAATGTTTTCACATTTGTGAATGAATAAAACATTTTTAACAAAATGAAATATTTTCTTTTAATATAATTAATGGAATTATATAATTAACCAAAGCTACATATCATTATATTATATTAACACAATATTTTTCAAAAAAATTATAATTATAAAGAACACACATAACAAGCAATGTCGAAATACAAATTATTCAATTGATTATGACATCTTATTAATGAAACCGATATGATTGAAAATTGATATAGATATCAAAAATAAGATATATTAACATCATAAAAAATATTTTTATAATTGAATGTTTTTTAATAAGAAATTAAACAATTTTTTGATCATATTTACATAGAAATATATTATTTTGTTATTTAATAATTAATTAATATATTGTGATATGTAGATATTGCATTATATTAAATGTGAAATGCTAATAACATATTCAAAAAAATAAAAAAATTTATTTTTCAAACATCATATATAAAAAAATGAATTAGAAATATATAGTAAATATATAGTATTAATGATAATTATTATATGATATATAGTACTAATGAAAATTATTATATGACGATTTTAATTATAAAATTTATTTATAAAAAATAGTCAAAGTAATTATATATTTAAGAATATAAAGAATCTAAATAGATTAAATTAAAATAATCTGTTTTTTTTTTTCTTTTCTATAAAATTTCATTCTTGTCCGATATGTATGTAATATATAATATGTAATATGTAAATAATTAAATATATTTTACATACTAAGAGATTAAAAAATTAATATTCTTGTGATATATTCAATTATAATATTATATTTATAAGATTTAATATTTAATATTTCTACAAGATTATTTAATCTGTTTTTCCTGAGGTTCCTTTATATATTGTAAAAATTAATTATTGTTGATTTTAGATAAATACTACAAACACTAGTTAAATATATAATATATAATATGTATAAATATATAATATGTAATTAAAGATTTAAATTATTATAGCATTAATCAACAATTAATTTAAATAATTTTTAATAATTTAGATTAAATAATTTAAATAATTTAGATAGAAGCAATAATAGAAACAACAATATAAATAATAAAAAGATGAAATAATTTCATTCGTTTTTTATCATTGATATTTTCATTATATTGGTATTTTCATCATTGATATTAATATTTTCATAAAATCATTTCATTAATAGATATTTTTAAACTTTACGATACATTTAGTTAAATTATAAAATACATATATTTTATTCGTTACATAAATAAACAATAAATTATATAAATTGATGTATATTTAAATTGTAACGTAGCAAGTTAATTTTCAATTATTTCAGTTTATTAAATAAATATTAAGAGTTCTTATTTTCTATATTGACGGATTCAAATATTTTTTATGTACAAATATATTATACAAATATTAAAGTGCATATTTACAATATGTATTATTCTTTAATTTAAATTTAATATTCTAAAATTAAAAATAATAATATAAAGCAATACATGCATACAAAAGTATAAATAATAATATTTAATAAATAATTTAACAATGAAACGCATGATGAAAAGAGTTGCGTTTTTAAATTCAGCATAATGTATGCTGGAAAATTCGATATGGAATTTTTTTCTAATATTTCCATGCTTCGACAATTGAATCGCTCCAGAATTGATATTAAAAATGCACAATACTTCATTTTCATTAATTTCTTTCCTTCAATTCAATTTTCAATTTCTACCATCTTAGGAATCTTATATGTGAA